ACTTGGCTTTCTCCTAATGTCAGCAATTCAGCGATAAATCTAAATGGCTTCTCCATATTCAGGCGTGACCGACGTGATGGTAGAAGAGGTGGAGGTGTTTGTGCCTATGTAAACGATCATATGCCAGTGGTTCATTTTAAGGAACTTTCACATCCCGAAGTTGAATCGTTATGGCTCCTAATAAAACCAAGGCGACTACCATAAGGAATTAATTCTATCATCTTAGTTGCAACTTACCATCCACCGAAAAGCGACGATAGGGTCTTGTTAACACACCTTATTGAGTCCCTCGACAGTGCATTGACATCCTATCCAGGGTCAGCTATCATCATTGCAGGCGATTTTAACCAATTTAGGCACAGTCAACTATGTAACTCGTTTTCCCTTAAACAGGTTGTTAAGCATGCAACAAGAGGATCCAACATCTTAGATAAAATATTTACAAATGCGTCCAAATTTTATAACGTTCCTGAGATTCTCCCACCTGTCGGTTTCTCTGACCATAACTCAGTGTTCATAAAACCGCTGAAGCAATGTATGAACTCCCGGAGTACCCCAATGGTCAGAGACACGCGATCCTCTAATCGGAAGTTCGTCTTCAAGGCTTTGTCTAGCATAAATTGGTCTCCCCTGTATAGTATGGACTCTTGCAACGATAAGTTTCAATAATTTTCATTAATTGTTAATGGCATTGTCGACCAGTACCTTCCAATGAAACGTATAAAATCGGATAGTAGTGATAAGCCCTAGGTAACATCTGAGATCAAAAGATTAATATCCAAACGTCAACCAGCTTGGAATAGCGGAAACAATATCATGTTTCGTCTCTACAGAAACAAAGTAAATTCGCTTTGCAAGAGAGCTCGTTCAAGATTTTACAACAGTAATGTCGCTGATTGCTTTGAATCAAATCCGCATAAGTGGTGGTCCAACATAAAGAACATAGCTGGCCTTGGTGCAACGAAAAACGTTTCCACTATCTTATACAATGGTCAATCCTACTCAGGTTCCGCCCTAGCTAACTTGTTTAACGACAAGTTTGTTGCTGTAGGAAGCACCCTTCCTCCATTCTCATGGACACCCATCGCAGTTGATGACGTTCCTTTAGATTTTTATATCTCCATTGATGAAGTTGAGAAAGCACTAATATCTGTAAAATCTCATTCGGCGGCAGGTCCAGATGAGATTTCTCCTTGGCTCCTCCGTGAAAACTCTGCCTCCCTATCCCGTCCATTGGCATCCATTTTCAATGCTTCTATTCAAGAAGGAAACATCCCGTTGTTGTGGAAATCCGCCAATGTGTCTCCTGTGCCAAAATCGTCACCTGCCCTGGCCATTGATTCCGATTTTAGACCGATCTCTCTTACGCCAATTGTAAGCAAGATCTTAGAGTCATTCCCTCATAGTTACTATTATTCCCTCATAGTTACTATTCCCTTATAGTTATTTCCCTCTTACGGTCAGTTAGCGGTCAAATTGATAACCTCCAATTTGGTGCGCTTAAAAGATCAAGTTCCACAATGGCATTATTATATATGTTCCATAAATGGTACGAAGCTATGGACACACCCGGCACCTGTCTTCGAAACTGTACGTTGGACTTCTCAAAAGCATTTGACCGGATTGACTTCAACATCTTACTTCAAAAATTGATAAATATGGGCATACATCCTGTCCTTACTAATTGGATTGCCAACTTTCTCACAGACAGAAGACAGCGTACAAGAATCGGCCCGAATTATTCTTGTTGGAGGTCAATCGATGGTGGTGTCCCACAGGGAACAAAACTTGGCCCCTTGCTTTTTTTAATTATGGTAAACGACCTGAAGGTCTCTGACGATTCTGTTAAATTCGTAGACGACACTACTTTATGAGAAATAATTACGAGCGCCCAATCGTCTGCTTCAGTTTTACAGGCACAAATTAGTGAATGCTCCAGTTGGGTGGCCAAAAACAATATGAAATTGAATCCCACTAAAACCAAGGAAATTCGAGTATGTTTTTCGACTTATGATTCTGGAGCACTTCCTCCACTTATCGTTGATGGCTGTAACATTTCTGTCGTGTCACATGCTAAACTACTCGGACTAATCATCTCCGAAGACCTCAAGTGGGTTCTTCATGTTGATTTCATTTGTAAGAAAGCTGCGAAGCGTCTGCATGCTCTACGATTATTAAAGAGATCTTCCATTCCATCAAGCAAGTTAGTGCTAGTGTTTAATACATGCATTAGACCAATTTTAGAATACTCGTGCGAAGTATGGCATCACAGTTTGCCCCAGTATTTAAGTGATCAGATCGAAAGGATCCAACGCAGAGCCCTACGAATAATCTTCCCAGATTGTTGTTATGATATTGCAATGGACCGCGCCGGTGTGGTGTCGTTATTCATACGGATAGAGACGATCTGTAAGAGATTTTTTGAACGAATGCGTACTGACGAAGCACATAAGTTACATTCCCTTGTCCCTTCCAATCGGGATACAGAATATTCCCTTCGTGATGGTAATAACAAACTATCAATACCTAGGTGTAGAACTAATAGATATGCAAATAGTTTCATAATTGCTGGAAGTAATACTTTTAACATCAGTAAAACTTAATATAATTAACCATGTAATTATTACTATAATAATTCTTAATCTAATTGTATTTTGTATTTTATCCTTTTAATCTTGTAAACCGATGTAATTCAGTCCTTGACTGCTAAATTGGTCTTTTTAATAAATCTTATATAAGATTTCATTTTACAAACTGTCGTGAAATTAGTCATGCAAGAAATTAGTAAATCCACAGAGTACAACCTAAAATTTATCGCAGCGAAAGATTTGCTCATCCGAGTTTGTGCTATTTTAGCCTGCGTAGCAGGCATTTAGTGCGGGTGGGAGAAGAGAGGGCGTCGTTTGAGGAAACGCCTGTAAAAGTACAGACACACCGAACGCGATTCGACAACGCGTTTGTTTGCACTTCCCAAAAACCTGCAGTTTTCGAGTATTTCTTCTTAGAAATTCAAGAAATCAACATCTTTCGCAATCGATCGCCGCTATTTTAGTTCAGGATACTTGGTGCAATAAATTAACATTATAAATGGCGATTTTCCTGGGCTCACATGCACTCGTTCTTACATAAAGTTTCCAGATTAGCATTTGAAAACATGGCGGGGTTAGCACTATTTTCCATCCAGCAAACTGACCTGACGTCATTTTCGGAAGATGGAAGAGGTGTTAAATGGCTATGTAACTAACCCAAACCTATACCCCTAGTCTAACCCCTAACCCTAACCGCAACCCCTATTCTAACCCTAACCCTAACCCTAACCCTAACCCTAACCCTAACCGAATTAATAAAAAATCCAAAAAGAAACGACTTTAGAAAATCGATAGGGCGGTTTGCTGGATGGAAAATAGTGTCTAACCACATGGCGGCTTCTGACTCGTGTTTAATTCATTTTGATGGGGAAAAAGGCCTACTTTATACAAGTTTTAGTGCGGTTTTGTATCAAAATTTTTTAGATTGTCGTAGAATTTGGCTAACGCTAGATGGGGAAGAACGCAATATTGCTCAAAGAAGTTTGCAATTTGTAAGCGACAGCATGGGAAGTAGCACGGTTGAAAGTATCGAATCATCGAGGTTGTTATCATCGAGGTTGTTTCTCAGCATTCACAAACAACAGTATGATCAAACGAGGTCAAGTGCCTTCTCAGAATATGGACAAAGAAGGTGTACCTTCATCTTCTGGTATCGATATTATTGATGAAGAAACGGCATCAGATGAAACTCCACGAAACTCCGGTAAAGAAAATGCCGAAATCTACACACGTAGAAACGCAGCAAACAAGTTGTTACAAATCCGTTCACAAGCTGTCGACAAGTTGTGTTCGCACTGCTTGTTCCCAGTTGTTGGAACAACTTGTAACAAGCTTGATGGTATTATCAGACTTGTTACAAGGTTGTTCTGAGTCTTCTGACAAGTCTGATAGAGTCATGATTTTACAAGAATGTTACAAGGTTGACCACAAACAAGGTTGTAACAATATTGTTATATCATAAGTGTATCGGACTTGCTGGAACAACCTTGCAACAAGTCTGATAATATCAACAAGGTTGTTACAAGTTGTTCACAGCTTGTTCCAAACTTGTTGACAACTTGGGACAAGCAGTGCGAACACAACTTGTTGACAGCTTATTGGCAGACTTGCTACAAGATGCGAGACTTTTCCATGCATGCTAAGTTCGCGTACGAATGCGGCTCTAGCTAAATCACGGAATCCCCACGTGGTGCCATGCGTTTGTATAATTTGCAAATCAGAAAAATCGTATTTCACTGAATCGGTAAGTTTATTGATTGATTTTTTTACAATTATTGTTATTTTTCTAATATGTGTTTTATGTACTAGTTAAAATATGAGCAGCCGATCTTTATGGGCATTTACAATGTTAAATGCCCATAAAGATAGTTGCTTCAATTTGAGGCTTCATTGCGTGATCTATATTTTAATTTTACAGCTTATAGCGACTCTATGTCCGGATATAAGTGTTATCATTCTGTAGAATGTGCAAAAGGATACCACGTATCCTACAATAGTATCCTTTTCATAAATGCTTTTTTTTGGCAATTCTCTTATGCAAGATAGTACCTCATTCCACCATTTTGCGCCAACATGAGAAAAAGACTTTCGTTGAATTTCTAGTTTCGATTGTTTAATGTAAAAATTATTTGATTTTGAAGAACGTGTATTTATAAGAATGAATATTTGACGTATTCTGAAAAAAAATTGAGAATGTTAATGTTTAACATCATGCATGCATCAATGTAAATACATTTTCATAGAATAAAATGTTTACTGGTAAAATATTTTGTAGCAACAAAAAAGGGTATTGCGTGTTCTCCTTTATCATACTGACAATGGCATGTTTTTGAATAAAGCTTTGCATCTTTTATTCATCATCTTTTCAAAAAGCCTATTAAAATTAGATAATAATGATATCGGCCGGTAATTATTAGCATCATTCCTGTCATCATTTTTTATAAAATTAATATTCATTTTTTATTTAGATGGATATATATACTCCCAACTCAATTGATAAATTAAATAATCTATACACAATACGTAAATAATAATATCGCTGGCACATTTCAGAATCTGGGAAGGGCAAGAGTATAAACCATGTGTTTTGTTGATTGGAAGTGCTAAAAGCTCAAGTTTCACTTCATCAGGAATAATTGAATTAAAACAAAAAGAATCTCGCTGTGATTTATATTTTATAAGAAAGTCAGAATAATGCTTCCATGGGTCTAGCAACTGGTTAGCCAATTTATGTCCAACTGATGCAAAATGATTATTTAATATATCTGGGATATGGGATGCGTTTCTCATAAGTCTATTACCATTATTAAGTCTATTATCTTTAATAGCTTGAATACAGGATGATTTCTGAGTTTTACGATTCATAATGGTATTAATTCCTCCCAAGTTTTTTTCATATTCGTCAAATATAATGTTTATTAAAATATTCATAATAATAATTAGCTTTACTTAATCGTATTAATCTTTGTATTCGATTTCTATATATTTTATACTCAGACTGTTTTCCGTCAGCATATAGTTGATTTTTGTGTTTGATAGCTGCTCCTATTCCTTTAGAAATCCAAGCGGTTTCGAGAGCCGTTTAGCCTGACGACGTGATGTCGGTTTGATTGATTTGTAATTTATCCGTTCTTCTTATAATCGTTGTTTACAATAAATTGCAAAAATAATGCCCAAAATTCCAAATGCACGCAGTCAAAAGTGATGTGAAATCTACAAGAAATCTCGTGAATACAAAATTACTTATGTTAAACAAATAACTCTGAAAGTCCAGATGTCGCCTTCCCCCCTCCCCCTAAACACGTGATAAGTCAATGCGGCCATCTACTTCCGGCTGGTCGAAATTGACCAGCCGGAAGTATGTCTGCTGCCAGATGTTACAAGTCTCTCTTTCCTCCTCTCCCCCTCAGCGGTACGTCATGTAACGTACAATATAGATGTACAATATATAGATGTCCACAAAGAGAGACTTGGATCAAGTCTAATGGGAAGAGTGCACTTAAACTGCGAGACGCCTGGCAGTTCTTGGTCGATTTCTTGCAAGAAAGTCGATTTCTTGCAAGTTGTGCTATTTCGCTGTCGTTTACGATTTTTTGCTACTTGTTTTTGTTGAATTGACTAATGTTAATATTCTTCTGTCATCTGGGCGTGAATTCATGCTGTTATTCTTGGTATATATGACATATGCCTTATTTAAAGTCCATGGAAATTCCAATATTAAAATGTCAACAACCGAAGCGTTGAAGAACTAGACTTGCAAGGAACTAGATTTGTAAGCTATAACTATATAAAGGTAAATATATAGTTATAAATATATAGTTAGTAAATATTTCAAACTTTACGGCTGTGAACTTTTATTCACTTGGGCTTTTGTTTACAGTATACATTTAATAGAAATTGCCATTGGCATTGTGATCGACTGATCGAGCCTTCAGCTAAAGAAGTTATTAATACAAAAGCAATTATATGACTTTCTAATCATTTCTCTGCTACTGTTTTATACTAAGCAACTGATAGCATTCTATTATTCTCCATGCAATACCGAATGACCTATGATTCGAAATATTCGCACGGTTAACTTGCCATATAATTTGCTCATCATTTTTCGCGCATTTTGTATGTCATCAAACATCTACAAATTTATTATTATTTGCCAATGGCGTTCAATTCGACTCTTCGTCAGAAAATAAGGTTTTACACACAGAGTATATGACGATATGGTAACGTTTTGTATTAAATTCCATGTTTGTCCGCCATGACAGTATACAAGAACTGCCAGGCGCTCCCCAGCACGCACCCTTCTCAACAGCCCCTTCGCGCGTCGCCTGCCTACCTGAATACTTCATGTATTGTAATTATTTAAAGCGTCTGGGTACGAGGCAGATTATGTACTGTTTAATAAGCGAGCAAGGGTGTCTTATTAGGTTTAAAGCCACGAGCGCGCAGCGCGAGTGGCTTTAGACCTAATAAAACACGACTTGCTCGTTTATTAAACTGATTCAAACACGACTACAAATTCAGTAGACATACTGCCTTATTAGTATTCTTCATATAAAGAATATTAATGAGGACACGACCACAATAGATACTGCCTTATTAGCATTCTTTATATAAAGAATACTAATTAGAAGTGTTTTATCAGGTTTAAAGCCACTGCATGTGACATATTATGGTTGACATGATTTGTCAATAAGCTTATGAATTATTAATGCGTGTTTGAAGTACTGTTTAATAAACGAGCAGGAGTGTTTTATTAGGTTTAAAGCCGGTTTTCCACTAGCGAATTTTTTCGCGCGGAGCGACCTTTTTCCTTTGTCGGCATCTATTTTGCCACGTCTTGTTGACGTAGTAGGTGATACTGACAAAGGAAAATGGTCGCATCGCGCGACAAAATTCGCTAGTGGAAAGCCGGCATAAAGCCACGAGCGCGCAGCGTGAGTGGCTTTAGACCTAATAAAACACGACCTGCGAGTATATTAAACGGCTTCAAACACGACCACAAATTCAATAACTTTACTCCCTCGATCAAAATTCGATTAAAATAAGCATAAAATCTATCCTACAAACTTCCTACACATAGCAGGGATGAAAGAGTTATAAAAGCGGTTCGTGCGTGTAACGTACATATTAAAATACCGATTCGTCCTGAAAGAATAATCAGTCTCGTTCTTCTGGGGCAGCAGATGATGAAGTTTATGCATTGGATCCTTGATGATACTCGTAAAGAGTTTGTCACACATGTCCTCTCTTCTTTGAAATAGAGTAGGCAGTCTATAATACTCAAGGGCCTCACAATATGTCATTTCAGGAGATAAAATTTTTAGCACACGTTTCTGGACAGTCTCAAGTTCGTCTGCCAAATACTTTGGGATGGAATGATGGAAGGCTTGCGCACAATACTCGAGCACACGCCTGATCACTGTACAATAAAAGTTTAAAACATCATTGACATTTACGCCTGCCCGTTTCAATAATACTATAAAATAGAGGCGTTTATTAGCTTTCTTTATACTCTCTCTGATGTTATCTTTCCACTGAAGTGTGCCTGTCATAACAAGACCCAATATTTTTGCACTCTCAACTATAGGCAATGCTTCTCCACCCACCAGTACAGGATCAAAAGGTTGTTTAATTTTTTAAAAATCGATTCTCAGTTCTTTACATTTCTCAGCGTTAAGAGATAGCCCATTTGCCTTCGACCAATCTTCCACAACATCAACTGCGACTTGAACACGGCTCTTTGTGTCCTTACTAACTACTTCAGCAACTGTTGTGTCATCAACAAACTTCCACCTCGATATATCACAAATATCAAGATCGTTTATCATTAAACAAAATAGCCAGGGCCCTAATTTTGTACCTTGAGGGATACCGGAAAGTACATCTCCCCACTCCGAATAGCAGTCATTGGATAATTTCACTCTCTGCTTTCGATTCATCAAAAATCGATTGTCCAGCGAGCAACCGCACGTGGAATAGCTAAATTGGAAATTTTATCAGTCAGTAAAGCATGATCGATAAGGTCGAATGCTTTTCTTTAATCGAACAGGATGACTCTGACAGCAGAGCCAGTGCCATCAGTAGCTTGCGACCATTCATGGATCATAGATATAACAGCGAGCGTAGTTGAACTTCTTGGTATTACTCCATATTAACTTGGATCGATTATACTCATGATAGCTGGAGCAATGTATTTTTTAACAACACAGTCCTCAGCGATTTTCGAAATAGCGGCAGTAAGTGAAATTGGTCGTAACTGCTTACAAATGTCGCTAACGGGCTTAGTTTTTATGAGGGGCACAATGTTGGCAAGCTTCCAAGATTTAGGTAGTTATTGTTCGGCATAGCTGCTGTTTAGCACAGCGCATACTGGCTGTGCAAGGATTTCAGCATATTCCTTAAGAGCCCAATTGGGAATTTCGTCAGGACCTGACGCCTTTCCACGATTAATTGCTTTCAATAAATGAAAGACTTCCAATTCGTTCACTTGAAAAGAGGAATAATTATCAAAGAGGGGAAGGGTTGACAGTGGAT